CGAAGTGATGGTCTTGTTTACTGGAATATATAGCCACTCCCATTATGCTACTGATACCAATGTGAATTTTTATTTAAACAAATGTGAGGTGTTAAACTCCATTTTGGAATGTTGCAACACTAACAGAAGGATGTGGAAGTTTTTGAGAGGGTACAGAAAAGGTTTACCAGAATGTTGCTTGTATTGAAGGGTATTAGCTTTTGAGGACCGGTGGGCAACGGTGGTTTGTTTTCACATACAGTGGAAGCTGAGGGCAACCTGATAGAAGTTTATAGAATGTACAAGCAAAGTCTTTTTCTTTCTTCAGTGTAAAGATGTTAATTAGGAGGAGACCTAGGACTTTAAGCCTTCACCCTTTTTTATTTTGGAAGGAGAAGTCCCCTCCCCCACCCTGTGGTAAGTGCCTGGAAGGAGGTAGTAAAAGCAGATACAATAGCCATATTTTTGAGGCACCTCCACAGCTAGACGAATAGGCAGGGAGTAGAGAGATATGGACTGTTCAAAGGCAAAAGTTTGTTCCAGTTTAGAAAGCATCATGTAGCTGCACAGGCTGGGCCGCAGGGTCTATTCCTGTGCTCTACTATTCTCAGGTGCGAGGGAACCTCAATAAGTTTCATCTGGTTTTCAATACTATCTGTTACTTATCTCGCCAAGATGGCGCCGGTATAATACATAATGTTCGGGCTCAGTCCAGGCAGGCGACATCATTTTCTCTGTGACAAAGAGATAACAAGGTGTAGAGCTGGATGAACATAGCAGGCCAAGCAGCATCAGAGGAGCCGGAAAGCTGATGTTTCGGGTCTGGACCGTTCTTCAGAAATGGAGATGGAAATCCTCTGATGCTGCTTGGCCTGCTGTGTTCATCCAGCTCTATACCTTGGTATCGTAGATTCTTTAGCATCGGCAGTTCCCACTATCTCTGAATCATTTTCTCTATGTACTTTTTCATCCTTTCCTCATCTTTGAGTCTCGACTGGACCGGGACTCCTAACAGTGCGCTGCCCAGAGCCTAGACTCTTGGCGAGGCGTTGGTGGCTGCAGAGCCGGAGCTTTGCTCTAAACTTTATAGGACTGTAATACCAATTGTCTGGGGTCCAGTGCGTATCCAGCAAAAGCACACATATGCAATTTCAATAACTTATTTTATTACTATTTCATAGTCATGTTTGCAAAAGTACTTTGTTCTGTAAAATGTAGTTCTCTCTCAGAAAACTTCAGTACTCATTAAAGTGAACTGGAATCAACGACCTCCTCAACTCTCGCGTCTTGGCCTCGGGGAGGATAATGCCGTGACCATTGGACCTCCGACTGTCAGAGGGCGCATCAGGCTAAACGCTAGTACGCGGGCCGGGAACGGGGACGTCTCAGCGCCGGACCGCATGCGCTATGCGATCCGTTCCGGTTCCGAGTCCCGGGTTTTACACTCTGTCAGCGGCGACTCCGCCTCCCAATCCGAAAACCCTCAGCCCATCATCTGGAAGCCGTCCCACTGGCGGGTTAGGGGCGTGGCGTCAGTATTTAAACGTTGCTGACGTTACGATGCTTCCTCTTCAGCTGTGAAAGCAGTCGGAGTCGGTGGTAGTCTTCGTCCATGTGCTCCTGACTCACCGCTGTTCGTTCACTTCCAAAATTCTAAGTCGACGGATAAGTTGGTCAGGAGTTTACCATGGTGAGTGTGAAGGGTTCTGTGGAGTGGGCCGCGGGCAGGAGGCGAACTGTGCGCGCGGGCAATAGGCCTGGGGCCTTCCCCGCGGTATTGGTTATTCCATGTGTTGCGCCTGCGCTCTGTAGGTGACAGGGCTCTCTAGCTTTACTGTCTGATTGGATGCGAACTAGCGTTTATTTTCAGGGGACGGCGAAAGAAGCGTTGATCGAACGAAATGTACCGAAATTAAGTAACGGCGTTGTGTAATGTAGACAAGGGGTTAAGTGTTGGGAATGGGATTAAAAAATGAGCAGCGCGGATACGAAGGGCCTCGACCCGCGTGTTTTAAAACAAAACTGAACAAATTTTCAGTTCCGTGTGGCACTACGGAGAGGCAGTCTGCTTCTCGAGGCAGTCGCCTTTATCGTACCGAGTTGGGCTCCTATCTGGGTCCTCAAACTCCTTACCTTGCGACTTGTTTCAAACAATGCGTTTCTGCCATGCTGATTCAGCATTTGCAATTTATTGGATGTTTTATTTTAAAGTGTTTTTTTTGGAAAGCATCTTGTCTGTTTCGTGGGAGGCACGTTTTAACTGAAGTTGCAATTTTAAACAGTTCGAGGCCTATATTTCCGAAATATTACTTTGCTTTTAGATAACCGTCTGTTACTGCAAGATGTTGATTAAAATTTTAGATTTAAGTTGTTTGACTAAGTATTTATTGTGTGCACTTTTTACCAAAAGTAAGAAGTATATTTAGGATTCCTCAGTGCATTACTCAAATTTGCAGGTGGCAAAATTACAGGCGAACTGTTTGGAGACTCAAACAGTGCAGAAAAGGCCCTTCGGCCCATCGCGTCAGTCCGATATTACTGCCACTAAATTTCCAATTTCCTGCACCTGTCCCATATTCTCGAATGTTATGATATTTGAAGTGTTCATTCAAACCATTTTTAAAGGTTGTAGGATTTCTGGCCTTCACTGCTTTCCCAGACAGTGCATTCCAGATTCCGACCATCCACTGAGTGGTAAAAGTATTTTTCCCCCAAATCCCCTCTGAATTTCTTACCCCTTACCTTTAAGAATGTGCCCTCTTGTGATTGACCCCTGGAACCAAGGATATCAGCTGCTTTCTATTCGTCCTGTCCATATCCCTCATGATCTTACGCAACTCAATCATGCCCATCCTACCCCCCACCTGCCTTCTCTGCTCTAAAGAAAACATTCCAAGCCTATCTACTCTCCTTTTAGCTCAATTTCTCCATCCCAGGCAACATCCTGGTGAACATCCTCTGTATCTCCTTCTAGTACTGTCATATCCTTTCTGTGGTGCTCAGAACTGCACACAGTACTCCAGCTGTGGCCTAATCAATGCTCTATGCAATTCTAACATTACCTCCTTGCTCTTGTACTGGATGCCACAACTGATTAAAGCAAGTATCCCATATGCCACTTTAAACTTGTATTCATGTGCTCTGCTGACTTCTTCAGTGATCTATGAATAAGTACCCCAAGAGTCTTCTATTACTGTAAGCTACCTAGCATCCTGCCATTCATTAAATACTCATCTTGTTTCTTCTTCCAAAATCCATCACCTTGCGCTTATCAGAGTAACATATTGCCTATTGCTTGTCTGCCCATCTGACTAACCCATCTATATCATTCTGTAACCTACAACCATCACCTTCACTATTAACCACTCCAGCAATCTTGGTGTCATCTGCAAATTTGCTTAACATTCTTCTCTCATTTTCATCTATATCATTTATATAATAAATGACATATCCCAGCACTGATCCTTGTTGGACACTGCTGGACACTGGCTTCCAGTCACTCGAACACCCTTCTACCACTATCCTTTATTACCTATTATTTGGCCGGCTCTGATCTATCTCGACAAGCTTCCCTCAAAACTACATCAACTAAACTTACCTCATCCACAGGCTTAATCACTTTCAAAAAAAATCTGACAAATTTGTTAGGCATGACCACCCTCTGACAAAGCCATGCTAACTATCCCTGATTAACCTATGTCCTTCAAAGTGGGTATTAATTCGTTCTTTCAGTTTTTTTTCCAATACTTTCCCTACCACTACCATGAGACTCACCGGTCTGTAATTTCCTGGTTCATCTTTACCACCCTACTTGAAAAGTGGAATCACATTAGCTGTCCTCCAGCACTTCACCCATGGCCAGCAAGCAATTTAAAGTTGTTCAAGCATAAATGACTTAAGCCTTTTGGATTTTAATCTTTTAATCTGGTTGTACCATAAGCCGATATCGTCTAAACAGGCTTTTTTGACTTTGGCAGAAACGTGTAACATTTGAGAACTCTGCTTAGTTTACACTTTTTCATTTGGACAGGCATTTAAAGATCCCGGCAAAGCACCTGTGGAACAGGAGGTTGCAATTCACCGCATTAGAATTACTTTGACCAGCCGGAATGTGAAATCACTTGAGAAAGGTAATTTTACTGCTGGGTTCATTAATTAGCCTCCTATTTGAACTTGGTTTACTATGGAAATGGGTAAGCCAGCAGTCATTTACAATCACTTGCTAACAAGAATGTTGTCCGCTTAGGAAGTTCCATCTTCTAGTAGATGCCTTTGTGGGACGTCTTTAAATGTGGGAATGTTGTTGCATGCCAGATGCACAGTTCTTGGAAAAAGTAGGTCTAGTTTCAGTGTCAAGGAAACCTTGGTGACTGGGTATCTCCGTATCTGCTGCAGCCTTCATCCACTATCACAGCCGTTGATATCACAGCAGTATTGCTGTTGAAGACTTGTTTTGGATTGTACTTTGTGCTACCTGACTGTCATGAGTGACCCCGCCAGGGGTTGAGCACTCCCGACGGCTTCGCTCTCTGGATCATTGGATCATTCAAGCCTATCCTCCGCAGCAAAGTGACAATCTACAAAGTATAGGAGTCAGTAAACATCTGATGACGCTTTCTTATGGCAAATTCTTGTTTACAGCATCAGCACAACCAGTGTTCAGTGTCCCGTGCTTTGCCGTGGAAACTGTAATTCAACTTGTATTTAAACAGTCTAGAATGTGTATTTGGAGTTTTGAGTGTAGAGTAACTTTTTTTTCTTCTCCATTTTTAGTTGAACAAGTGAGCAATAACTGGAACCTGTTGGCCTACTGACCCCAGTTTTAAATTTGTATTACAAACGGTTCACCCTCGTGTGACTGGATGAAGTGATAAACTAGCATTGGGGATGTTATCATTGGTGTTAAAAGCACGAGCTTTTTTATGAGAAATGAAACTGCCGAACAACTAACCATCTTCTGTAACATCAGAAGAAAGTTGCCAAGCACAGCCCATAATTGTTCTGACTGAATTGAATTTTGCTGGCAAGGAAGATACTTTTTGTAAATGAATCAATATGATTGCTCTGTACGCTATTCTGAGCCAGTTTTTTTGCAGATGGCAGTTAGCGCTGTATGTGTTCTTGACTGAAATTTTTTACTTCTCTCCAGTTTGTGCTGATCTAATTCGTGGTGCTAAAGAGAAGAACTTGAAGGTCAAGGGACCTGTTCGCATGCCTACGAAGGTAAGGCCCTCTGCAGAGGGTGGGAGGTGGGGAGAAAACTAAGTCAGAAGTTTTATATAACATTTCTATATAGTAACACTGCACTAATACCAAAAGTTATAGACAAAAACAAGCTGAAGTGTGTTTTTTTTTTGTAGGGGGAGAGATAGGGAAGGATTCATTCACATTGGAGTTTGTGGTGACTGCTTAGCAGTAGATCAGTTTTTCTTTTTAATCTTGCCTCGGTGGTTTAAAAAAAAATTATGCTCAAGTCTCTGGAAAAAGACAATAGTATAAGATGACCCATCAGTGTTGTTTTGCCACCAACCTAAACTGTTAGCTGAAACATAGGACCTTTTCTGGTTTTGCATGAATAATATCTTGTGGAATTATTAAGGCACGAGTGTCCTAATGATTTGAAAACACTTCCAGCAAGACTGGCATATAAATTATCTAGTCATGTACCTTTATTGCTGTATGCAGGATTGCACTTATGCGCGTTTGTCTGCATTATAGCAATGTGTTCAGTTGAAAGACTATATACACCAAGTTGTTTCATACTCTCGTTAGCACTGTTGCCTCACAGCGCTCAGGACCCAGGTTCAATTCCACCACCAAGCGACTGTCTGTGTGGAGTTTGCACGTTCTCCCCGTGTCTGTGTGGGTTTCCTCCAGGTGCTCCAGTTTCATCCCACAGTCCAAAGATGTGCAGGTTAGGTGGATTGGCCATGCTAAATTGCCCATAGTGTTCAGGGATGTGGAGCTTAGGTGGGTTATAGGGGATGGGTCAGTGTGGACTTGTAGGGCCGAAGGGCCTGTTTCCGCACTGTAGCGATTCTAAACTGTTAGCTAGGTGTACTAAATATCTGCACTGTGCATAGGTTGGATTTTGCAATTTAGTCTTTTGTTTTTAAATGTACTTGACAATTTAAGGGAGAAAACTGAAAGCAAATATTAACAGTGAAGGACAGTGAGTTTTAATTTGAAACTAGTATGGCAAGAACGTTAATGGATTGGCGATAGGGCTATTCTGAGATAGGCTGGTAGCTGAACTTCGGTAAATCTAAGGAATTGAATTCAAATTGACTTTTAAGGGTGTGAAGAGGCTACATTTGAAGAACTGCAATTCACAGGAGATCGTCATACCACTACTATGCTGCCAGTAATCCAGGGACCCAGCTCTGGGCAATGGGTTCATGTCCTAGAGATAGTAGGAACTGCAGATGCTGGAGAATCTGAGATAACAAGGTGTAGAGCTGGATGAACACAGCAGGCCAAGCAGCATCGGAGGAGCAGGAACGCTGACGTTTTGGGCCTAGACCCTTCTTCAGAAATGGGGGAGGGGAAGGGTGTTCTGAAATAAATAGGGAGAGAGGGGGAGGCGGATAGAAGATGGATAGAGGAGAAGATAGGTGGAGAGGAGACAGACAGGTCAAAGAGGCAGGGATGGTGGGGAGTTAGGGAGAAGATAGGTCACTCCATCGAGGACGGACAGGTCAAGGGGGTGGGATGAGGTTAGTAGGTAGGAGATGGGGGGCCAGGGCTTGAGGTGGGAAGAAGGACAGGTTAGGGAGGCAGGGAGGAGCTGGGCTGGTTTTTGGATGCGGTATGGAGAGGGGAGATTTTGAAGCCTGTGACATCCACATTGATACCATTTGGGCTGCAGGGTTCCCAAGCGGAATATAAGTTGCTGTTCCTGCAGCCTTTGGGTGGCATTGTTGTGGCACTGCATGAGGCCCAGGATGGACATGTTGTCTGAGGAATGGCAGGGGGAGTTGAAATGGTTCGCGACTGGGAGGTGCAGTTGTTTAGTGCAAACCAAGCGTAGGTGTTCTGCAAAGAACTAAACAATCTCGGGTTCATGTCCTGCTTTGGTAGTCAGTGGAATTATTTCCAAGGAAAACAAATACAGAAAACAAGGTTGGTCTTAGTTTTTTTGATCAGCGTTACTGTTACTGATTATTGTTAAAATCCTCTGGTTTACTTTAATGAAGGAAATCTGCTGTCCTTGCCTGGTCTGGTGTACATTACTCCAGGTCCATAGTAATGGGGTTGACTACCCTCTGAAATGGCCTAGCCAAGGGCAGTTAGGAATGGACATGAGGTAGCTTTGCTAATGCGTATGTCTCATCAAAAAAAATTGCAATGAAAATGATGTAAGTATGGAAATCTGTGGCCACAGTGGTTGGCAGGTTAAGGGATATTCCACATTTCAGAATGAGCTTGTATAGAAGTATGTAGCAAGTCCTTCTCAAGTTTTGCACTGTTGATAACATGCCTGTAGTGATGTACCAGTATGAATTCCATCCTCGGGCAAGGAAATGTAGTTTGCCTTGGATTTGCTAATTTGATCCCCGAGTGAGGGATGTCTTGTGTATAGACTGAGTAGTAGAATTGCCCTATATGTTACTACATAATCTTGTTTAAACATAATACTTGGGTCTAGCAGGGTCAAAGCTGTTCCTCCACTTAGAGTCCAGAACTGGGGATATCAAGCTAAGGAAAGCTTTAATTTTTGCAAATTTTGTACCATAAGAACGTGTATATTCTTCATTAGAGATACAATAGAAATGTGAACGAACAAAGAACAAAGAAAATTACAGCACAGGAGCAGGCCCTTTGGCCCTCCAAGCCTGCGCCGATCCAGACCCTCTATCTAAACCTGTTGCCTACTTTCCAAGGATCTGTATCCCTCTGCTCCCTGCCCATTCATGTATCTGTCTAGATACATCTTAAATGCTATTGTGCCTGCCTCTACCACCTCTGCTGGCAACACATTCCAGGCACCCACCACCCTCTGTGTAAAGAACTTTCCACGCATATCTCCCTTTAAACTTTTCCCCTCTCACCTTGAAATCGTGACCCCTAGTAATTGAGTCCCCCACTCTTGTGGGGAGGGTGTGTGGAAAGCTTCTTTTTATCCACCCTGTCTATACCTCTCATGATGTTGTAGACCTCAATCAGGTCCCCCCTCAACCTCCATCTTTCTAATGTAAATAATCCTAATCTACTCAACCTCTCTTCATAGCTAGCACCCTCCATACCAGGCAACATCCTGGTGAACCTCCTCTGCACCCTCTCCAAAGCATCTACATCCTTTTGGTAATGTGGTGACCAGAACTGTACGCAGTATTCCAAATGTGTTCGAACCAAAGTCCTATACAACTGCAACATGACCTGCCAACTCTTGTGCTCAATAGCCCGTCCGATGAATGAAAGCATGCTGTATGCCTTCTTGACCACTCTATTGACCTGTGTTGCCACCTTCAGGGTACAATGGACCTGAACACCCATATCTCTCTGTGCACCAATTTTCCCTAGGGCTTTTCCATTTACCGTATAGTTCGCTCTTGAATTGGATCTTCTAAAATGCATCACCTCGCATTTGCCTGGATTGAACTCCATCTGCCATTTCTCCGCCCAACTCTCCAATCTATGTATATTCTGCTGCATTCTCCAACAGTCCCCTTCACTATCTGCTACTCCACCAATCTTAGTGTCATCTGCAAACTTGCTGATCAGACCGTCTATACCTTCTTCCAGATCATTTATGTATATCACAAACAACAGTGGTCCCAACACGGATCCCTGTAGAACACCACTGGTCACAGTTCTCCATTTTGAGAAACTCCCTTCCACTACAACTGTCTCCTGTTGCCCATCCAGTTCTCTATCTATCTGGCTAGAACACCCTGGACCCCACGCGACTTCACTTTCTCCATCAGCCTACCATGGGGAACCTTATCAAACGCCTTACTGAAGTCCATGTATGTGACATCTACAGCCCTTCCCTCATCTATCAACTTTGTCATTTGCTCAAAGAATTCCATCAAGTTGGTAAGACATGACCTTCCCTGCACAAAGCCATGCTGCTTATCACTAATAAGCCCATTTTCCTCCAAATGTAAATAGATCCTATCCCTTAGTCTCTTCTCCAGCAGCTTCCCCACCACTGACATCAGGCTCACCGGTCTTTAATTACCTGGATTATCCTTGCTACCCTCCTTAAATGAGGAGACAGCATTAGCAATTTGCCAGTTCTCTGGGACCTCACCCGTGCTCAAGGATCCTGCAAAGATATCTGTTAAGGCCCCAGCTATTTCCTCTCTGGCTTCCCTCAGTAACCTGGGATAGATCCCATCCAGACCTGGGGATTTGTCCACCCTAATGCCTTTTAGAATACCCAAGACTTTCCCTATCCTTGTGCTGACTTGACCTAGAGTAATCAAACATCTATTCCTAACCTCAACATCCATCATGTCCCTCTCCTCGGTGAATACCGACGCACAGTACTCATTAAGAATCTCACTCATTTTCTGACTCCTCGCATACCTTCCCTCCTTTTGTCCTTGTGTGGGCCAACCCTTTCTCTAGTTACCCTCTTGCTCCGTATGTATGAATAAAAGGCTTTGGGATTTTCCTTGACCCTGTTTGCTGAAGATATTTCATGACCCCTTTTTAGCCCTCTTAATTCCTCGTTTCAGATTGGTCCTACTTTCCCGATTATTCTTCCAAAGCTTCGTCTGTTTTCAGTTGCCTAGACCTTTTATGTATGCTTCCTTTTTCCTCTTTGCTAGTCTCTCAATTTCACCTGTCGTCCATGGTTCCCTAATTTTGCCCTTTTCTATCCCTCATTTTCACAGGGACATGTCTGTCCTGCACTCTAATCAAGTTTGGGAGAGGGGCAGTGTTGCTTTATTATTCTTGGCAATGATGGATTGGGCAGACTGATGCTGATTTTACAATCATAACTAGTTGGTTTATGATGAACTTTAGGCTGTCTTTTGAAAGATGGTAGTCAAAATATCAAGACTTGGCAAAGAAGTTGGCTTCTTGCTTTTGCTCTTGGACTGTCGTGTATGTGTGTCGCCTTCATTCCCATACT